TGAGATATGGTAAAAATAAATATTTTTTTTAAAAGAAAGAAGAAAATGTTCTAAAACTGATTTTGGTCATGATTGTACAACTCTTCTTGATGTGAACTACTGAATTTTATGATATGTGATGTATATGCCAGTAACCACAGAAACCCACTGGAGTAGTTTGACCCTGTCCTTTATAATCGTGAATCATTGGAATGGGCTCAAAGGCAATGAGATACAACACGATGAATGCAGTGAATGTCATAAATAAAAATGATTGAAATGTAAAATGTTTTGCTATATGAATTTCACCACACTAACGATTTAAAACAAAGAGTATCACTCAAATGATTATGAGGACTAGATTCCAGGGTTTCTACAACCCATGGATTTTAACTTTAGAGTGAAATCTCCAAATACTTAGATCCTAAGAATGGTTATTTTAATAAAATAATTTCTTAAATAGAAACTCAATTGTTACATGTATGTCTGAGTTTTTCCTGTGTATATATAAAAGTATTTTAACATAAGTGGAATTTTGATTATTCATGGAATGGAATTTTTCTTATTAGCTTACAATGACTATTTTAATAATGAAAGAGAACGAGTATTCATTTGACATTCCAGTCTTTTCCTAGAGAGAATTGTCTGGAGGAAAAAGAAGTGTCTGTTCAAATGTCCCTTCATTTCTATTGCTTTTGTTTTTCACTTGGCTTCTACTTCAAAATAGGTTATATGCTAGTATAGCTATAAAAATTTTATTTTTAAATAAAATAAATTCAAAATATAAAATCAAAAGGTGCAGGAGAGCCCCTCTGGCTTGTCAGCAACTAGTTACCCTGAGTGAATACCTGCAAAGTTCAGTGTTTTCTTCTGCATCACTTTGGAGCAAAGTAGAGGTCTATGGCAAGTCATTTTCCCAACAGCATGTGCTCACTTAGTGTTTCTGTGAGACATTTTTATAATTCTCTCAATAATTTCAAACATCTTCATAATACATTGCACACTTACAAGGCTACCAAACCCACTGCCATAGAGTGGACTCAGGCTCACAGGGGCCCCACATAGGGTTTCTGAGTCTGTAAATCTTCACAGACGTAGACAACCTCATCTTTCTCTTGAGGAGCGGATGGTGGGTTTGAACCATAGACCTTCTAGGGAGCAGCCCAACACTCAATCCACAGCACCACCAAGACTCCTTTAATTCACCACAGTGGAATGTAGATGTGAAGGGAATATCATAGTAAAGTGAGACACATAGAGTTTTGAGTTTCCCAGTTCATGTAAAAGTTATGGCTACACTAAGACTACAATTAGGTGCAAACAAAACTTGTATATGCCCTGGGAAACCTGAAGGCACTGTGTGACTCGCCTTATGGCAATGATCACTTTATTGCAGTGCTCTGGACTGGTACCTGCAATATCTCTGAGGTTTCCTGCAAGTGCATGTGAATTTCCACACTTTTTGCACACCTGTCATAACACAGGATGCACAATATGAATCCCTTTGTCTTTTTCACTTAACTGTACACATGCTGGGCTGTGTTTGAAATAGTCCTCCAAACTATCACCCTTAAATCTTTATAAATATTAAAATAACCTTTTTAGTATTTAATATAACCCAAGGTACTAAGCAGAATGAGTGGTAACTGAGTACCTCAATGATATTTATCACAACAGGCATGTTTATTTTCAAGTTATTCATATTTCATATTTCATACAATAAAATTAGATGCACAGGACATGTGAGTCAAGATGGCAACCAGGTAGAATCACCTGCCCAGTACTCCTGTTGTTATATCAGAAAATTAAGAGGTATAGAGGCCAATATTGGGAGGTAGGGGGTTAAAAATAGATTCAGGGTACTAGGGTCTGGTTCAGACCTTCCCCTCTGATTTTCACACACGGAGTAATTCAAGAACTTGCTGAAATGCTCTAAGTTCACCTTGTCTGCCCGTGGGTTCTGCTAACCCCTCACCAGATCCAACAGGATGGCATCACCACCCTTCCTGTGCCCAAGATACGAGACAGGCAGCATGCAGTGACTTCCCCAAGTTGTTGGCCATAATCCCAGGCTCTCAGAGAGCCTCTGAGAACTAGCCACAAGACCTGACTCTGGAGTTCCCTCTCTGTTATCCACCCTGCTCTTGTGTTCTTGGGCATCATCCTCCCTCCCCAGTCAGGAGCGAAGTGACTACAGAAGTGACTACATCGGCCATCTCATTCCCCATCGCCCCAGCTCTGCACCTGCCAGTGTGGGTTTTAAAAAAATCTTTTAATTCCAGGTTGTGTTCCTTTGCATAACTTTTAATGTAAGCTGCCAAAAACCTGGTCTGGATCGATTAGCATAATATTAGCATAAAAATACAGGCAGACCGCTAATCCCCAGAACACAGCCTAGGATTTCAACATAACAACAAAGGAAAAGCCAAAAGCTGAAAGCCACAGTCCAAGCCAAAACCTGGCTCCACCAGTTTTGGGCTCCACAGTCTCTAAAAGACTGCAAATTGTGGCCAGACAGTCCAGACTAGACCAGTGCCCATGCTGCAGGCCTTCCCCAACCCAGCTCAGTGGGACACCTACAGTCACTGGCCTCAGTACACTCTCTGAGGCCCACCACCACCTCCAGCCTCTGAGTCACCACAGCACTTCTCCTACACAGTGGCTTGACCCATCACTATATTAGGCTACAGGTGGTCCCCGAATCCAATATTACCAGTCACACATAGAGAGAGCTGGGCCCCTAAGTCTTGCGGAACATGGATGGCACCCAGTTCTTCCAAAACAACATGGATACAGCGACATACTTAAACACCTTCAATGAGAAAAGAAGAAAAACAATGCAACAGTGGAAGAAATCCTAAACCTAACGACACACCAAAAAAAACAGATGTTGTTGATCTGCA